GAAGGCTCCAGGGAGACCTTGGAGCACCTTCCGGTACCTCAAGGTGCTAAAAGACAGCTGGAGAGGGCCTTTTGACAAAGGGCGTGGAGTGATAGGACAAGGAGGAATGGCTTCAAACTGGTAGAGGGCAGGTTTAGATTAGATGTTAGGAAGAAGTCTTTTCCTGTGGTGGTGGTGGGGCACAGATTGCCCAGAGAAGTTGCATATGCCCCATCCCTGCAAGTGCTCCAGGCCAAGTTGGATAAGGCTTTGAGCAACCTGGTCTAGTTGAAGTTTGCTGAAACCCCCATGACAAGGGGGTTAGAACTTTTAAGGTCCCTATCTCTTACCCTCTTCACTTTCAGCCCTAATTAAGGATTCTGTTACACTTGATGTCTACTTCTGGTTCAGCCTTTATGCACTATTGTAATGGAATCAAGCCGGAAGACCTGTCTTCTGTCTCTGAGGAGAATGATCCATCTCCCATCTAAGACAAACAAATGTAGGGTGGAGAAAGATGAAGTCTTTAAAACTGGTCTGTGCATTAAATATTGTCACATAAAATGGAATATGGGTATTACTGGTTAGGAGATTGAAGGTCAACTCATAATTTGACACAGATGATGGAATAGACATTTTAATGACAGGTTTTACTGTATTACTGCTAACCATAGTTGTAGTTCACGCTATGTCTCTGGGAGCTTACAACATTTCTCTGAGTTTTGGAGCCCTTGGGAAGCCATCCTACTGGAGCAGCTAATGATTAGGAATAGCCAAAAACAAGGATGGGAGAAAGCAGGTCCATGGGTCTATGTCCATCTCTAATGCTGTTCAGGAATTAAATTAATTTTACTTCAGAATAGTGGTCTGAATATTACCCCAGGTATTGTGGAAAATTTTGCCAGGTAAACATGACCTTTGTTTTCCTGAATCCTGTTTAGATTTCTTACCCATGTATTTGTGCCAGCGAAAGCTGGTTATTTAGGAGAGAAAATTACACTTTGCATTATTTTGCCAAAATGGATATGCACCCGCAATCATTTAAAGTAATCAAATGAAGTTACTGTAACATCAGTGAAATGAACTGCCTAATCAAATCTTTTTAAAGGCTTTCTTGTTGACCACCAAAATCACTAGTTATTCCGTTAACAGGTGCAGGCAATGTAGTTAAAATATTATGAAATAAAGAAATCATAACATCAAAAGACAAACAAGATGACACAATGGAATGAAAGGCTGACAGTAATCACAAAAAGTTCTATTCACAGAATAGTCTGGACTTGAATATATGTCTCTGTAATAAGGAAAAAGGTGCAAGAATTTATTCATGTAGCTGAATAAAGTGGTCTCACAGGCTGGTAGAAGAAAAACAACCTTAATTTTGGGGAACAGGTATGACCCACACTGGTGGTGCTCTGAGTGAGTCTTCAGATCCTATTTCCTGGTACCATACATCAAGCTTGACTCTGTATGGTATATCAAACATTTAATTTAATTTAGGCAAGCCAAGCACAAATTTAGGTTTTTTTACTTTGAATTCAGAAAATATCACTGATATAATTTCTAACAGAATACTGCAGATTTTGGGATTTTATACAGATAAATAAATAGAAGGAAAAAAAGACTTGACTGAATGGTTGAGGTGTGAAGGGACCTCTGGAGGTCATCTGGTCCCGCTCTTGCTCAAGCTGGCCCACCTAGAACCAGTTGTTTAGGACTGTGTCCAGCCTTCCCGAAGGTCCATTTCATGTCAGTAAAAAAAACATGGGCATAGTAATTAATATCCATGTAAGGTTGTGGAGTTTTTGTTGGTGTACTCGCCTAGGTTCCAAAAGACCTCACA